AGCCGGAGTCTGCCAAACAATGACAACTACATAACCAAAAAATAGCCACGCATTGTGGTGGGCGCCTATAGTCCCAGTTACTTGGGAGGCTGAGGCAAGAGAATTGCTTAAGCCCCTGAGTTTGAGGTTGCTGTGAGCTGTGATGCCATGGCATTTAACTCAGGGTGACATAGTGAGACTCTGTCTCAAAAAATAAAAAAATAAAACCTACAATGGTGAACCATGATGCCACAACACTCTACCAAGGGTGATAGTGAGACTCCGTCTCAAAAAATAAAATAAAATAAAACCTATTATGGTAGTCCACTGATAACAGAAATAAGATGCTAAGTGCTAAATTTTTATAGGAAAAAATTACTTGAATAAGCAAATAATGAGGAAAAACATTGAAAACAGAATAGGAAAACGAATTAAATGGCAAATAATATTGCACCAGTGGTCACAAAAAAACAGGAAAAATAGTAAGAGATTTCTCTAACAACCGCCCCAAACAATGTGCTGTTTAGAAAGCCACCCACCTAAAGTGACAGAGAAAAAGGGATATAAAATTCTAAACAGAAAGCACCAAACTGGATACTAAAGATATCTTACGCAACATGACTGAAACTTACATAAGCCTTAAGGCAAACAGAAAAACTCAGCAATACCACAATCATTCAATGCACTTTTCTTGCCAATGGGCAAATAGTGAGGATTACAAACAAGAAGCTGAAAAAAAAAATAAAAATAAAAACAAGAAGCTGGCTCGGCGCCCGTAGCACCGGCCACATACACTGGGGCTGGCAGGTTCGATCAGGCCTGGGCCTGCTAAACAACAACAACAACAAAATAAAAATAGCTGGGTGCTGTGGTGGGCACCTGTAGTCCCAACTACTCAGGAGGCTGAGACAAGAGAATCACTTGAGCCCAAGAGTTTGAGGTTGCTGTGAGCTGTGACACTACAGCACCCGAGGGTGACAAAGAGAGCTTCTGTCTCAAAAAACCAACTGAAAACAAGAAGCAGGGAAGGAAGAGGACAAGAAAGAAAAACAACAGATTGGAATAAGCTTACAAGCTTACCCTGAAAGATTATATAAAGCTTTATACAAACCAATAAAATTCATCATTTTCAAATTTGTTATTTGAAAATTTAGATAGAACATTTACCTCCATCCTCCCCCTCTGCCGAAATTATCCTAAAGTTCATTTGAGGCTGGGTACAGTGGCTCTTGCCTGTAATCCCAGCACTCTAGGCTGAAGTGGGTAGATTGCCTAAGCTCATGAGCTTGAGACCAGCCTGAGCTAGAGCGAGACCCTGTCTCCAAAAAATAGCTGGGCATTGTGTGGGGCGCCTGTAGTCGCAGCTACTTGGGAGGCTAAGCAAAGAGAATTGCTTGAGCCAAAGAGTCTGAGGTTGCTGTGAGCTATGATATCACTGTACTCTACAGGGTCGACAAAGTGAAACTCTTATCTCAAAAAAAAAAAAAAGGCTTGGTGCCTGTAGCTCAAGCAGCTAGGGTGCCAGCTACATACATGGAGTTGGCAGGCTTGAATCCAGCCCTGGCCCACCAAATAATGACAACTACAACCAAAAAATACCTTGTCTGGTTGTTGTGGCGGGGGCCTATAGTCCCAGCTACTTGGGAGGCTGAGGCAAGAGAATCGCTTAAGCCTAAGAGTTTGAGGTTGCTGTGAACTATGACGCCACAGCACTCTACCCAGGGCAACAGCTTGAGACTCTGTCTCAATAAAAAAAAAAAAGAAAAAATGTGCAAATGAACCCAAAACTTTTTTAATAAGGACGATCATATGTAAGGCTGTATTGGCACAATGCAAACCAGTGAAATAGTCTAGGCCTATGCTGTCCAAGAGGGTGACCACAAGCCACGCAGGGTTATTGAATACCTGACATGAGAGAGATGCAGTGTAAGACACAAACTAGATTTCAAAGTCTTAGCAAGAAAAATGCTTTAAAATATCACATCAAGATAATACTTTTATGTCTATTACACATTGAAATGATATTGGGTTAAACTATTTTTATAATCCATTTTACCTCTTTGTACATTTAGTGGCTCCTAGAAAATTTTGAATTACACATGTGGCTATTCCTAATGGACAGTGCTGGTCTAAAACCAGACCCAGGTCTTCTGCTTTCTGCCCATACCCCTTATCCTGATGACAGCTTCCAGGGGAGACAGTTTTCCTCACCCTTCCACCTGATACTCCAAGTTTCTTCTGGCTTTGTCTGTGACACGTAAGACTTTAATTTCCCACAAAAGCAAAAGCATTGACCTCTCCTGATATATTTTTTTCCACTTTAAAAACTTTTCTGCATAGGCTGGGCTCAGTGGCTCATGCCTATAATCCTAGCACTCTGGGAGGCCGAGGCAGGTGGACTGCCCTGAGCTCACAGTTCAAGATCGGCCTTAGCAAGATTGAGACCCTGTCTCTAAAAATAGCCAAACATTGTGGAGGGCGCCTGTAGTCCAGCTACCTGGCTAAGGCAACTCTTGAGCCCAGAGAGTTTGAGGTTGCTGTGAGCTATGATGCCACAGCACTCTAGGGTGACAAAGTGAGACTCTGTCTCAAAAACTCTTCTGTGGACTGGTCACTTAACAACTAGGGCATTTATCTGGGGATGTGATCGAGGCAGGATGGAGTCCACATTGCTTTAGGAGTGTTGGGGCACTGCCTGGCTATGCCAGGTTCTAGGGAAAGGACCTGTGGGGCTGGTGTGCTCGTCTGGGAAGAAGTCCCTGCCTTGGTGTCGGGGACTGTCACCTGTCGGCATCTGACACATACTGAACACTCCAGCTACTCATCTTGGTTTCTGTTCTCAAGGTTGGGACGGTTAGATGCAACATCAGTTCTCATCTGACAGATGCTGACGCCTGTAAGTGGCATAACCAAGGTTGTATAAGGTGTAGCAGTAACTCCAGGACCTAGCCTCCATGGTGACATCAGAGAGGAAGCGTCAACACAAAGACAGAAAGTGAGCCCAGGAGAGGCTCCAGCCTCGGCACAGCACCCGCCACCCGCCCCCCGCCCCCACGCTCTGGCCAGGTCCCCAGACCTCTCTGCAGCACTGTCTCCTCCTGTGTTTCCAACTCACAAGCATCCCCTGGACGGCCCGCAGGTAATTAAACAGAGACAGTGGCTCTCGTGTACTTGCCTGGGTAACCACTTCCAGAGTGGCGTAGTGAGGATGCGCAGGAATCTGCTGCTCCTTGAAACCCAACAAAATTGCTGGCAAAATGGTCAAAAATCAACTTTTTCATAACTCTAGAAATTAAATGCCCACACAATCTGAAAAGCAGGTATTCAGGAAGTATACACACCCTTTGCCAACCTCCAGCTGGCTTTCCCTCCTGTATTCCAGACCATGTTTCCTAAGGCCATCCTTGAATGACAAGAGCCTAAGGCAGTGCTTTTCAGCATTTTTAAAATCTCATGGCACATTTGAACCTATAGGTAAACTTCCGCTGCACACTTAAATTATGTTAATCCAAAAAAAAAAAAAAGAATATACTGTGCTCTATAAATTTCTTTTGAAAATAATTAATTATCTTTAAAAATTCTTGTGGCATACCTAAGATTCTTTAATGACACAATGGTTGAAAATCACTGCTCTAAGTCCTCAGTCACTGGTGGCCCATTTTCCTCATCTGAGCTCCGTGCTTTGGGGTTTATTCCTCTTCCCTGCACTGAAAGTGCCATTCTATTCAAAACCTAGTGGGAATCTAGCACTCTGGGATCCAAGGCACATAGATTGCTTGAGCTCAGGCATTCGACGCCAGCCTGAGCAAGAGTGAGACCCTGTCTCTAATAAAAACAAACAAACCCCCCCCAGAAAAATCAGGCATTGTGGTGGGCACCTGTAGTCCCAGCTATTCAGGAGGCTGAGGCAAGAGGATCACTTGAACCTCAGAGTTTGAGGTTGCTGTGGCCTGTGATACTATGGCACTCTAGCCTGGGGCAAAAAAATGAGACTATCTCATGAAAAAACAAAAAAACAAAAAAAACAAAACCCAGTAGGGCTCCCTAAAGATAAAAGCCAGATCTGCACCTGCACACCAGACTTTGCAAGTTCTCTCCCCAAACTAGTTGGAATACCCCCAGAATCCTTTCATATTCCAGCAATGCTGGAGCTCACATAGGAAAAGCTTAGATTTGGGGGTAATGTGACCAGACTCACACCCAAGCGCCCAAGCTCGAGGCAGCTCTCCTGTAGTCTTAGCTGCATTGGCTGTAACACTACAGAAGCAGAAGACGTTTCTCGGCTTGAGTTGCCTTGGAGGTTGGTGCCATTATCTGATCTTACACATGAAGGGAACTGAGGCTCTATCTACTTTGTTTAGGCCACCTCAACAATGACCAGATGTATCTGTTCCTCTATCATTGTGTCATTATCGGTATAATAGATTAAATAACTTAGAGACTATATAACCAAAGAATGCATGATTCATGCCAATAATCTTGGCATTTTGAGAGGCTGAAGCAGAAGGATCCCTTGAGCTCAGGAGTTCAAGATCAGCCTGAGCAAGAGACCCTATCTCTACTAAAATTAGAAAAATTAGCCAAGCCTTGTGGCAGATGCCTGTGGTCCCAGCTACTAGGGAGGCTGAGGGAGGAGAATCGCTTGAACCCAGGAGTTTGAGGTTGCTGTAAGCCAGGCTGAGGCCACGGCACTCTAGGCCTAGGAAACAGAGTGACACTGTCTCAAAACAAACAAAAAAAATGTTGTTTCAAAGGATGCATGACTGGATTTGGAAACCAGTGCTTTAAACTTTAAGCGGGCTATTTAGAGACTCAGTGGGGGAAATGAGAGGAAGCTTGATTGTCACTTGGTGGGGTATGAAGAGGAAAAGGCCAAACAAACTGTCTTCAAAGAACTGTGGGTCTCCTTTACCTAGGGTCCTGTGGGGCCTGTGGCCTAGCTCCCCACTCTCACACCCACCCTCTGAACTCCCCATCCCCCAGCGTTTTGGGGGGGGGAAAAATAAACTCAAAGCTCCAGTTTATATAATTGAATATTTATGTAAGCTTAAGTTACTTAAGTTACTTATTTTTTAATTGCACAATGCTGAAGCCAGTCTAAAAAAGAATCAAACACACCAACTGCAAGGTAATTCAATGAGTTCCTTTTTTTTTTTTTTAAACAAATTTTTACAGCAAAAAAATCCCCAGATCACAGTCTAGACCATAGTTACCCTGTCCAGTATGCAGGAAGCCACAGGAGCCCCTGGCAAGAGGGGCCAGGGTCGGCAGCTATGCTATGCAGAATTAGCTTCTACTTACAGATGACATGTGGTGTGGAAAAATCTCGGTTCCCTTTGTTCTCCAGTGTTATCTTGTACAAAATATTACATTTTTTAAACATATTTACAGAGTTTGCACAAATAGAAAATGGTTATAAATTACAACCAGGCTTGGCAGGATAACTGTTCCTCTCCCCAGTGACTGAGGTCAGAGGTGTGATGATCACTTCATATTTACATCGGCATTTAAAAAAGTCTGTGTTCCTAGAGACCTAGATGAAGTTGATAAAAACTGGTTAAATGTCAGCAATTCATTTACTTAAGCTGTACAAGTAATTGATACCAATTAATTCATGTCTTGCTCCCTGAAGAAGATTGTGAAGGAAAAGGGACCCTCTCCAGCCAGCACCACTCAGCCCCTGCCCATCTCCCGCAGTCTGCCTGCTTCTGGTGGGGCGGAGGGAAAGGGAAAGGGCCTGAACAGAGGGGGATGGGACAACCTGGTTGAGACTAGTGTTCTTCAATTGTTTTGTTTGAAACAGTGTAGAACCAGGTTAAGCCGACTGGTTTGTCAAATGCTATTTACTATGGCTTTGAAAAGAACCCATAGCACTACCCTTTTGAAATATCTTCTCAACAGGACTATCGTATGAGGGGGAAAAAAGGACTTTCTGGAGAGGATGTTATTCTGATGTTCGATCTTTGCCTTGAATGCCAAGCCTGATTTCAACAGTGCAAAAAAAGACTCAAAATGCGGCTGCGGGACCAGGGGGGTCAAAGGCTTGCGTAGTAACTGTCCACCCACTGAGCAAGGCCACGCTCCACCAGTGACCGGTTGATCAACACCACCTAGAAAACAAAGTTCCCTTGAGAGCCGTGCCCGGGGCACCTTGGGGCTACCTCTCAAGCCCACAGGGGCGCTCCCTCCCAGGCCCCAGGCTGCCACCACAGGTGACAGATGTGCAAGCATATCGCAGGGCGCTCACTGTCTAGCTGGCAGGACATGTACTTAGGAAGACGCGTGTGACAATTGGCTTTTTAATATGTTGGTGAAATCTATCTAAGCTTTAATAACCCTCAGATGAAGGATGGTAGAAAGACCCAGAAGGTCTGGACAGGTTCCTCCACTCTGGCACTTACTGACATGTGGCTGGGTAATTCTTTCTTGTGGGCTGTCCTGGGCATTGTGGGGTGTTTAGCAGCAGCCCTGGCCTTTCCTCACTAGAAGACATGACATCACCACCCCCAGTGGGGTACCCAATGTGTCCCCTGGAGGACACTGGACTACAGTTATGTCTTCTGATTAACTGATGAAAAAACAATCCCAGAGCCAGCCTAAATCAATCCATTACTGCTGGCCAGCAACCCAGAAGGAAAAGAAGGGCAGAACTCACTTCATCTCCAACCACACTCCACAGCTGAATCAGAGGGAGGCCAGTTGGACTGTAACTTGTTACCTGAAAAAGAGAAAACAAAAGCATGATTTAAAGCAACTCCACGCACCTCTTAAAGGCTGCTGGTCAACCCAGGGCCCAAGCCACAGCAAGGGCACAAAGTCAAGATCAGTTCCCAAGAAGCCCAGACCCCTGAATGAGGAAGGCAGGAAGCTCCTCGGGCAGACCCTGGCTGCCCGACCCCGACCCCACACACACCTGGGCAAGCAGTGCTGTGTTGCCGGTCATCTCGCTCATGGCGGCATCTGCTTCCGGGGAAAAGTGGTCATCATCTGTAGGAGGAAAGGCAGCACTGAGACCCTCACTGAGGCAAGGCACCCACGCACACACTGTTCCAGGAGGAACACTGCAGATGCCACGGGGGACCTGACAAGTGCACCATGGAGACCCAGGTTTCCACGAGGGACAGAGCCAAAGCCTCCACGTTATTCCAAGTGGAACAGCTCAGGTCCTGCTGTAAGCTGCCCGCCTGCCAGAGGACAGGGAACAAAGGGACAGAAACTCTGCCTTCATTGGAATACCACCACTAGCAGCACAACCTATCAGACGCAGACTGTATGCCTCTTCTACCCCATCATTACACCAAGTGGTACCCCAGCTTTGCAGCAAGAACACTGACATAAAGGTCGATCGTCAAAGGTCCTCGAGTGGCGAAGGTAGAATTCAAATCCGTGCAACTAACTAGCCGCACAGCCCAATAGGGCCAGCCACTCTCTAGCAGGTAAGGTGCTATGGCAGCATTCTGCTCTGTCAGATCATAAAAGTTACGCAGAAAATCACATGCAAGGCCAAGAGGTGACAAGGATGGAAGAAATGGGTGTTCACAAAGGTCTAGAAAAAACTGTATGAAGGAAGGAGCACAGACTGCTCAGACAGACAACCCTGCACCCCCAGTGTACCCTCCAACATGACCCAGCTAGATGGCAGTGTTTCCAATGTACTTGACTACTTTAGGCAACCAGACAAGATCAGGAGGAACAGGCCTACAGGAGGAAGGGGCAGGAGGAACAGACTGTCATCTGCAAACATAAAATCTCAAGCCACGAGTCGCTATTTCACCACCTTCTGCACACCAGTTCCTGGGCTTATGGAATGCTTACAGCCACGTGGAAAGACAGTGACTACACCCCCATGTTCTGGAGGCAGAAACTGAAGCTAAGCAATTTACCCAAGATCACACTACCAGGCCTCATCCATCTGGCTGAGCTTTCACAGTCTAACATGCCTGATGGGGTGTCAGGACAGTCCTCAGTGTGCCCCCAAGGAGCTGTGGCCTAGAAGAATGGTACCACCAACCTCAGTGCCCTCAGGGGCAAAGACTCTGGGTCTGGACCAAGTCTAGAAGGTGCCTTCATTGGAAGCCTCTCAATGTTGGAGGTCTAAGTGGAGAGCAGTGGACCCCAGTGGGGAGTCTATGGATCAGTAAAACTGGCCTCCCTCAGACCTTCTTAGAAATGCACGTTCCGACTGAACTAGTCACTCAAACTCTGAAAGCAGCAACCACTTGTGTTTGCAATACGCCCTCCAGGTGAGAACAAGGACTCCAAGAGAGACCCACTCTCAACAACTGCCCCCACCCCCATTCTGCCAAGCCAGAGGCCTTCCTAGCTGGTTACCTGACAGGGGCATTACACTGTCCAGGAGGACTTCTGCTCCCTGGAATGGCAGGGTGACAAAGTCAGACCTGGAAATGCAAGAAAGGAACAGGTTTAACATGGACATGAGGGACCACCAAAGCCGGTATTTATTTGCCTTTTGAACAGTAACATCCATGACAGCAAAGCAGAGGGTATACGCACAGAGGGCCACAGCTCATGGCACACCTGAACGCAGGCAGGCCGCGTGACCTCAGAGGGACCTGTCACATCAAATTCCCAGAAAGGAACCTGCTTTACTTGATGTGGCACTGGGGGATTCCTCTACAAGACTGGCCTTCTAGCTCGGTTTGGCTGATGCAAGCGATTGTGCTTCTATCAGAGTCAGCCGAAACACAGCAGGCAGCAGGAGGGAAGAAATAACCCACACCTGTGGCCTGGTACGATGAAGCCAGGTACACAGAGATCACACATCTCGGGGCCTGTGGGGCCGTGCCTCTGTGGGAGCTCTCCACCCACCTGATCTGTCGGAGCACGTCCACTTTCACCCTCTTGTACCCGCCGTAGTCCACGTATCGAATCTCGACTTCATTGGTCTCCTCGTAGGAGGCAACCACTTGGGCTCGCCACCAGGCCCCATCCACACCAGGGGCGGCACAGATGACTGTTACTACAGGGCAGGAAGGGCAATGAGTGGAAACACCTGGCCCAAGGCAGGCAGCGCCTCAACAGCCACCCTGGTCACTGCTCCACCTCCTCCCCACAATAGTCCTCCGAAGCCCCCTGCCCCTGCCCCCAGCTCAGAGGGAGGGAAGAAGCTAGATCTGAGAAATTCAGCCCAGCACGTGTGCTACCCCCAAAGCTATCCAGACCCAAAAAGCATTCAACCTAGATCCATTACTCAAACTTACTAAAGCCTGAGATGGACACAGAGAATGGGGCCAGGGCCCGCTTTACCTTCTCAAGGGAAAATCTCAGAGGCGCAGCACTCCTAAGTGCAGCAGGTCTCCTCTGGCCCACAACTCAGACAGAGGGCTTGGGCACAAGGGGACTCCTGGGCCTCAACCCCACTTCTAGCCTTTGCCTCAGGAAGGTGCTGAGAAGAGTACCTGGGTAGCCACTAAGGCTGTGCTCCAAGGGATCACCAAACCCACCCAGGGGCAACAGGGGCAGAGGGAATCAGGAGGTAAGGGCCACCCAGCGGCACCTCGGAAGCTGCCCTAGGTCAGCTGGGATGAGGACTTAAGACACGGGGACCAGACCCTTAAAGAAAGCCACTGGTAAGGTCACCTCTGGGACTCTAGTTCAGTCTTACTGCTGGTTAAGGCAACTTTGAGAGAATCTGATGGAAACTAAATCCTTATTTCTCCAAAAGGAAAAAAAAACCCACAAAAATGCTACAGATAACTTCAAAGGTTTTTCTGATGCCTTGAAGTTCACTGGGGGACTTCAAGTTCCAAGTCCAGAGAGGTGTTCTGACATTTAATTCCTGTGCTGCTATGGCAACAAAGCTCCAAGTGATGAAGGACCAGCTCCAGGCCCCAGCCCCTGTCCAGGAGTCACTTGGGCAAGTCACTTGATTTCAGAGGCTCAGATGACCCCACCCCCCTGCACAGGCCTGTGCAATCTTTTACATCAAGTGTTTTATGTAGAACACTTGCGGTATCTAACCCCAATTCCCGGAATAAGTGGGCATCACCCTGCTTAACAGATACCAAGAGCTGAGATCTAAATCCCTGCATCAAAACTCCACTCCAATACCATCACTTCCTCAGCCAGTGCAAACACCAGCTTTTGCGGGCTGGGAAGCTCAACCCAGCATGACTCCAAGACACTGGCAAGAACTCAGCTGCTGTTCCCACAATGGCCTCTTTAGTCAAGATCAAAGGCAGAACAGGCAACCCCCCCCACTCAGGGTATCCCCCTTCCCAACCCTACTGCCCAGGCCAGGTGCAGAGCTCCCCATATGTACCCCACCCTGGGGCAGCACTTACTTTCCACTGGGGTGGGCAGGGTGGGGATGCCGGGCTGAGAGTAGCAGAGGTACATCTGCTGGTCGAGGCTGCGCAGCGCATGGAAGGTTGGGTGTGTGTGTTGCTGCACGAACAGGTGCCCAGCGTTGACCTGGTTGACCACGATTACCTCCACAGTGATGCCATCGGGCAGCATGAGCTATAGAGGAGAAGGGGCGGCAGCCATTGCAACAATCCTTCTCACGTTTGGGTAAGTCCTGGGGGCCCCCATGGCAAGTCTCTGAACTGGCGCACCTTTGATAAGGGTATACAACCCAGAACAACGTGCCACCCAAGGTTACAGCTACCTCACCAGACACCACCATGGGTGCTCCCCTGCGAACCAGGAGCAGCCTCACCTCAAGGGAGGAGGCTCCTAGCAGCAGACACTGGGCACCCAAGAGCCGATTGTGGTGTGGTGCGGTGCTGGGCCTCACGCAGGCATGAGCAGGGTCTACCCACCAGCACTGTCTCCCCCCATACCTCACGGAGTCTGTAAGACCCAAGGAGGGTAAACATGGGAATAAGGTAGCCATAGAGAACAAGGTGCCTGGGAATAAGCAGCCAGCGGGTCCTCAAGGAGGAATACCAACTCCGTGGGCCTGCAGCTGGCCCCAGGTGCCAAGGGCCTAAAGCATCTACTCTGACTTCCCCCAGCAGCCTCCAGTCGGGTCCATGGTCAGCTGGGACGAGGACTTAAGACACAGGGTTAAGTCCTGAGTCCTCACCTGCATCTGATCTCAGCCACTCTGCCTCCTCCTGCTTCCCCTTCGTCCCTGAGTCCTGCTCATCTTCAATACTCCTGACACACCCAACTCACTGCACTTTGAACACAGGTTCACTGGTGGCCAGACCACACATTAACTTTCTAACTGTGAACAACCTCTACAGGCATTCAAATAAGATGTTTGTTTGGTGCAAACTCTGCCTTTATGCATTATTCATTTTGCAAATACAGCTTTACAAAAGTCACGAAAAAAAGAACATTTCTTACTGTTACAAAAGCTGCATTTGCACGATAATGAACAAATGTAGCCTGCCATTGTATCATTAAAGTTGCTGGGACTGCTGCACCCCTCAATTGGCACCTTTTGCTTCTGAGCACTCCGCAGTCCAAGGGATAAAGCCCCTAGAAGGGACCACCACAGCTTTCTAAAATATTCGTCCTCAGACGCTGGTTTTCCCAATGCTAAGCTACAGGCAACACCCAGAGGGACTCTGGGCAGAGCCGGGTGCCATTCCACTGTCCAGCAGGGTGGCCACAGTGAAAGAGTCCTGGCCCCAAACCCCATCCCAGCACTGCTGCTTTGGAGGCATCTGTGATCACCTCTCCAGTCCTAATGAGCCAAGCAGAATACAAGAGAAGAAAAACTGACTGGGGAGGCGCCTGTGGCTCAAAGGAGTAGGGCACCGGACCCATATGCCGGAGGTGGCGGGTTCAAACCCAGCCCTGGCCAAAAAAAGAAAAAAAAAACGGCAAAAACTCACTGCACAAACCACTCGATTCTTTAAAAAGAAAGTTGAGTCTAAGGCCACGACTCCTGCAAAAATTCTCTATGATTCAGGAGCAAAGCATAAGGTAGGGCTCGGCCCACTCCCAAATATCTACAGGAAAACAAAGAGACCTCCTGTTCCTTTCCCCCAGCACAAGGGCCTTAGGAATGGGGAAGATACAGAACCGAAATGCCTACCATCCTAGAAAAAAATACCAGGAGGGCCATTTCCTTGGACCCACACACTCAGCCTGTCTGTGTGAAGCGCAGTCAGTATAGTCTTTGGCCCACAGAATTCTGCAATTCTATATTCCCTATGCGATGAGGACCGCCCACAGCCAGGGTCACCCTGCAGGATGAGTGACAGGCCCCAAGAGACCCTGGTGACCTCAAAACATCAGTTCTTCCTTGGTCACACTCCTAGAGCAACATCCAAAGAGCCACTTGGCTTCTTAGGCCTGGAGGAGACTACTCATTCTTCTTTAAAATCTACATCCCTCCTGGAGAGAGGGAAGGGAAAGAAATCCTTCACCAGAGCACTACTGGGATTGGCTCAACCAGTGAAACAAAATGGCCATAACAAGTCCCAGCCATATCCAGTCTGGTGGGCCTGGGCCCCACCCAGGCCTCAGGGGCTGAGAGGTAACACTGGTGATACAGAACCAGGCTTAAGGAGCCCTACACCAGTCTGAACAGCCCATCTCCTTTCTAAGCAAACATCGAACACACATGAGGTGACAGGTGGTAGAGCTAGAGAAACACGGGGATCAAGAAGCTGCTAGGTTCCTGCCAACACTTCACCCCCTTACCCTTGTCCCCAGGCCAGTAGCAGAACTGACCGGTGGAAGCCAGAGGTGAGAGGGCAAAGGCATTAATGGGCTCTTTGCCTTCTTAGCCTGCAGTCTGGGGGCTTCCTGAGGTAGGATTTGGGGTGCAAGCAGTCTTGATCACCCAGAAGCACGCTCACCCAGGATGTCATTGGTAGAGAAGGCAGCGCCAGCGAAGGCAGAGGGGGAGCGTAGATATTGGTGAGGTTCAGTTCCTTGAACTTCTTTCCGATCAAGTTCAGTGCTTTGTCTACGTGCTGCTGGGAGCCTAAATGGAGGTGGGGGCAGGATATACAACCAGTGGGTAAGAGAAAAGCCACAGCACAAACAGCCTCAGTCACATAGCCCAATCCACAGGGCTTTCCTAAAATTCAGGTCTATCTTTAAAAGGCAGTGAAGCACTCGAGTGCTGCCCGCTCAGATGACACCACTGCCCCTGTGTATGGTCAGTGAACAGGTTCACTGGCAGGCAGCTGGGAAAGGGCCAGAGGGGAGTCGCAGGCAGGGATCTTGTGTCCTGTTCTATCAGGAAGTCCGGTGGGGTGGTAGGCACCCTGAACCTGGACGCGGAGCCCTGCAGCTGAGCACTCATGCTTCTCCTGGGCAGAGACCTGGTGGGGAGGGACCCGTGTCTCCACGCACCTGCAGGGAAGATACCCAACACCCTCGCCTGGGATGAGACGGGGGTTTTCTATTCAGAGACTCAGATGCCAAAAGGACAGCAACTGGGACACAGGTGCCTCGGGTTACTTACGGCTCAGGTGAGAAAGCTAAACGCAGGGCAGCAGTGCCACTGACCTTCTATGTGGCAGATCTGGATGCTCTGGGTGTAAGGCAGGGTTGAGATATAGATCTTGGCACCCGACGTTTGCTTCAGAAAACTCACATACCGCCCCTGCTTGCCAATTAGCCGACCGACTAAGTGCTTCCAGAGAGAGAAAAAGAGAAGGAAGGGTTAACAGAAAACCAATTCCCTACACTACCAAAGACGTGCTTTTGTTTTTACACAAGGTCAAGCTCAAGTATAGTAGCTGTTAACATGTCAACATTTATCTGCCAGGACTATTTTAAGCACTTAAACTTACTCACGGTACCTACTAACAGATGACTTCATCATCTTCCTACAGATGAGGAAACAAGCCCAGAGAAGCTAAAGGAACTCACCCCAAGTCACACAGCTGCTAAGCAGCTGAACTAGGCAGTCTGGCTCCAGGACCAACAGTTCCCATCTCTTCCTCGACACGTGGCCCTGACCCAGAAAGCTGTAAATGCAGCATCTTTCCCCAAACCCATGCTATGCCAAGTTTTAGCAGCATAACCATCAACTACAAACCTTCCCCTTCATGTCTACTCAGGTCCAAAGAGAAAGGGGCTCAATTTAAAAATGAAGGGTTAGAAGAACTCTTGGCCTCCCACTGCTGAGTGTCAGTCGGCTGCCCACAGAAGTGCCCAGTGCACCAGAGTTCAAGGTGGACAGAAGCAGCCAAACTTAGCCATTACGTAAGACAAGCTCCGACACAGTCCCAAACGAGCCCTGGTCCAGAGCCTGCCTCGTTGTGCCCTTTGTAACCACTGAAGGAGAGGAGGGCAGGGTTGCTACCCTGGGGAAGAAAACCACCAAGGGAGCCAGCAACCTGGGGTGAAAACAGCCACTGTGACCCAGAGTTCAGGCCAAGCCAGTCTCCACTGCAGTATAGAGCCAGGGGCCCTGGGAGAACATAGCCTGCCAATTACTTGTGAGCCCCAGAGATAAACATAAAAACCAAGCTAATAAGTTTTAACAGGAAGAAGCTAGAAACCACTTAAGCACTCTGGAATTGGGGAGTGATGAAGTAAATTGACATCCATGTGATGAATAATGCAGTTAAAATGACGGTGTCAACGAATAACAGAAAATCAAATTGTTAAATATTTAACGTATTAATTAAAGTGACATAATTTCAGTTTTGTTCAAAAACCACAGGGTGTAAGAAAGAAATAAAAGTCGTTCACAGTCACCCTCAGGGGTAAGATTAGAGCTACATTTTATTTTCTTCATACATTTCTATACTTCTCAAGTTCTCTAAAGTATGGATTTATGTTTTGCTCAATTCGAAATCGCGCTTTACACTGGAGAGTTCAAGCAGAGCACAGTGAAGCAAGTCTGGTTTTTTCCCAAACAGATCTGAGCCCCTGGAGGACACAAGAAGCGCCCCTGGGCCTATGAGGGTAGCCTCACCAGGACTTCTCAGAGTGAGGAGCAGAATAAGACGCTCGGAGAGGCAGCTGGAGGAATTCCACACTGCAGGAAGCTCAGAACCTCGGCCTTTGGTGCACACAGGGGCTCCTTCAGGTTGACTGTCCCTCCCCTGACCTGCTCCCCCAAGTATGACGGGCCCGAAGCAGCGGAGCTTGCCGCAGAACTCAGCCTGCGGAGACACAGCCCTTACCTTTGGCACTTCAATCTCCCAGATGATGAGGTCGACCTTTTTCGGGTTGGAGCCTGCCTGGGCATTCTGGAAACTCTCAGTCTTCCTGAGGCTGCCACAGCTGTCCACTGAATCCATGCTGTTCCTGTCGGAGCCTGCAGGGGAGGAAGCAGCAGGCGCACACCTGGACCCTGGCTCAGGGCAGAGACCACCGAACTTCCCACTGCCCCACACACCTCCTCAAGCTTGGCAGGTGACTATCGGCTCAGTCTAGAAGGTTCAGAACAACCCCAATGAAAGGAGGACCGGGGGTATAGATACACCTAATTTTAGCCCGTCCCTTAGAGTACCACTTGCTTAACTGGCAGCCACACCCAGCCACAGCTGCCGGAGCAGAGACACAAGTGGTGAACTGGGAAGAAACAGACTGCACCCCGGGAAGGGGAGCCCGCAGGGTAGAGGAGGAGACAGGCTTGCAGGTCTGCACGGAAGTCCGACCTATGAGCTCTGTCCCTCACCTAAGGCCTGGGGTCACAGGTGGTGGCCTTCTGCCAAACAGAGTCCTCACCGGACCCTCCACAGGCCCCATTCTTATCCCTGATCTGCCAGATGTGGACAAAGGAAGAAGGGTATCCTTACCATCAGCTTGGGCCCAACTTGGGAACCCTGAATACTCTCACATACCTCCGGGTCAAAAGACTAAGCTAAAAGTTCATTCACAGGACAGAGGGGAAGCAGGACTCTGGCCCAACCTGGCCTGTCCAATTCTCTCAAGACTGTGCCAAAGGGTCCACTGTAGAAAAACAGGGGTCCTGACCAGCTCAAGAGAAGTAGCTCTGGCTTAAATATGGATGACTCAATTGCCAGACATAGATCACTCTTAGAAGTCTACCAATTAGGTTATATTCTGCATTGTTTCTCCAAACCCTGGTAATAATCCTTTGCCAAGCAATCCATGCACTGCCTGAGTGCAGAGAACTAAGATTTATAGACTCTGCTCCCAGCTAAGGAAGAGTCGCCTTCACGGTGACCTCCTCCCTCAACACCAGGGGCTCAAAATAGGCTTCACACAAGGACACTATCCCTCCTAAAAGAAAGTAGCTTGGCCAGCCAGCTAGGACCAGAGCAGGCTGAAAGAAGCAGGAGAATGGGGGGGCTCCACAGACACAGACTAGTGTCCCATACACAGACCCCTACCTCTGCCCAACAGAATGGGACTAGCCAATACCTGCCACCCTAAGGGTACCCCAGAGTGGCTCAGAAGCACGCCAGGATTCTAGCAGGCTGCACTCAAGGCCAGCTTCCAGCTGCCCCAGCCAGGCTGTCCCCTGGACCCTCTCAGCTCCAACTTCCTCCCATACAAAGCAGGGCTGACATGAGACCACACACAGGGTGCTAGCCCAGTGCGCGGTACATCTCGTTACAGAGTGGTGACAAGGATGGTCTCACCAGGTATCTACTGTGGTCCCTAAACCTCCCACCCACCATGGCCCAGTTCTGAGCCTAGACTCAGACGCTTTCAACACATCAGAGTAGCTGCTGCAACCAATCCAGAGTCGGCATGACAAGACTGAGAGGTAGCAGGCAACGCCTCCATTCTGAAAAAATTTCACCCATTTTTAAAGAAGCAATGTTGGGGGCAACATTTTAACAACCTGACATTAGGATGCATCTTGTAGTATCTGGCCTCGGACAATCATGACTGGAGCACTTTTTTCCCTTTAGGTGTACATAAAAACACAGTGTCTTTCTTTTTTTTTTGAGAGAGAGTCTCACTTTGTCACCCTCAGTAGAGTGCCGTGGCAGCACAGCTCACTGCAAACTCAGACTTTTGGGGTCAAGTGATTCTCTTGCCTCAGCCTCCCAAGTGGCTGGGATTACAGGTGCCCGCCTTAAAGCCCAGCTATTTTGTTTATTAGAGATGGGGTCTCACTCTAGCTCAGGCTGCTCTTGAACCTGTGAGCTCAGGCAATCCACCTCAGGCTCCCAGAACGCTAGGATTATAGGTATGAGCCACCACACCCAACCACAAACAGCAGTGTCCTGATAGCACCTTAGACTAGGTGACAAAATGTAGTATGTGGTATGTGCTGGAAGTACTAAGATTCCCAGTAAATACTCCCGACCCTCCCAGAGCTGAAATGGAAGGAGGGAGTGGCCCCAGGACAAAAAGTCAGAAGCCACTTGACTTCCAGGAGAGAGAGGTGAACACACCCCAGGGTGGCTGCAGAAGCAGGGTCTGGAGCTGCTGACCTGTCAGTTAGCGGTCTGAACTGTCTACGCTGGGGTCAGCACTCGAAAAACCCACTGGACACCTCGTTACAAAGGGCCCCTCTTTCCCAGGGGTGGAACTGCAGCTGCACAGAAAGAAAGTGGCTGAGGCTCTCTGCGAAGGAACAGGTGACAGCAACGTTGGGAAGCTTGAGCCTCCCACAAGTATTCCAAGCTGGGGCCATTCTTTGGGCACTTACCCTGTAAGAGCTTCTGGAGGAGGGAAGCAGGTGAAGACATGGGAACAAGCACATGATTAAAAGGAAATAACCATTAAAAAAACTCACACTCATATTTGGAAATAAAGCTAACGTCTCTCCAGGAAAAAGAGAGAGAGAAAAAAAAAAAGAACAAAAACCCGTTTAGAAGTTAGCGTTTAAGAAAAAAAGAGGCACACTAAGGTTCACCAACGTACCCATCTTTGGGCTAAACCCTTCTGAAGGGCTGGAAGCTGCACTGGCTAACAGCCAAGTCCAGATCCCGTGGCTCCAGGGCAACCTGACTTCTCATTCCCCACCAGTACTGTGCTGTGCCTGCGCTCTGCATGCTGGCTGGGACACAGAGCTCAAGAGGACCATGCTCTGCTGTCCAAGTAGCAGGAGGGAGAGGCTGACCAGCAGCCTGCCCCTAGCAGATACAGGGAGACCCCCATCCTGTAACACCTGAGACCCTCCTACCTCCCGAATGGTCTCCTTCTGCATCCAGGGTCCATCCATCATCGGCCCCCAAGTCTGACAACTCCTCTTTCAGCACCCCATTGCTGAAGGGCACAGTACTTTCTGGCAGCGGTGGGGTGATAGCCTTGTCCCTGGGGCTTGAGTTGGTCTCTGTGCCAGAGTCTTCAAGCCCTGAAGTGCTGAGGGAATCTGAGCAGTGTCCCAAGGAGGCCACTGAAGGGACACCTTGGCAGTTGTCTGACACACAGGTGGCATCTTCCACCAGGATGCTTGCCCCATCCAATGACTCTCCAAGGGGGGTGTCTGGCGGGGGACAGGGAGCTAGGGAGATGGGGTATGCAGAGTTCTTTGGCTTATTGTCCTTGGTGGGGCTGGACAGAGGGCTGCTCAGGCAGCTCACATAGGTCTTTGGTGGTGGCAGATCCCCTGCCAGCAGGCCTGGCGAAGGTGAGGCCGCGTCTGATGGGCTGGAAGCTGCCTCTGCTGTGGCCAGGGCAGGCTCCATGGTGTCTCGACCCAGGTCAGTTTTCGGGCCGCCTGGGGCATAACTCTCTTCCTTTTGTCCTTGGAGCTGATCGGCTGAGGCCTGATGCATGCGCCCTGCGATTTTGCCCACGGTGGTAGCCAGCACTTCTTCAGTTGCTTCCAAGATCACTTGGGAGATTATCTGGAAGGCAGCCTGCTCAATCTTCTCATTTCTATCCAAGCTCTCTTCTTTGCCCAGTTCTCCGGCGAGGTCTCTGTCCCAGGCTTTGCCCCCTCTGACATGGGGTGCAGGCATCTCAGCATCCTTAGCCAGCTCCGTGTGGGCCGACTCGAAGCTACTCAGCAACTTCTCTACCACACACTCTTCCCTCTGCTGCACAGGCTGGACCAACTGTGGCGAGCCACTCCTGCCCTTCTCCCCACCGCCTCCCACGGTGGCCAGGCAGGGAGCCTTGCTATTCTCCAATTCTGAGACATGCTCCTGGGACAACAGAACTTCTTCTAGCACATTCTCCCCCAACACTGCATCGCCAGTCCCTTCAGCCCCACGCGTCTCTCGTGCCCTCTCCCCAGGGCCATGCTTCTCTGTAGGACCCACGAACTGGCCTGACCAGCCTCGCCCAGGTGTCCTGACAAATGTGGACTCCTGCTTACAAACCTCAGCTGCTTCGTGAGGGAACGGTACACCCTTTGGGGATAAAAGGGGGCACTCTGGAGGAACAGATTTGGCCTCGTCACCTGCCGGGGCCAGCTCCACCTTTACACTGTCATCTTTGCGTGTTCCTGGTCGAGATCTCGTGTCTATGCTGTTAGGAAGGCTGCTTGAGGACTCTGATCTTCGACGGGCTGGGTGTGTCCGCAGCAAGGCTGGGGGCTCCACAGGAGGCTTGCTCGCAGTGGATGGTTCCTTTTCCGGAGGCTCTGTGACACTGGCGGGTGTGGATACGACAGTGGAAAAGACACCTTCCCCGGGGAGGGATTCCTTGATGGCAGAGTCGGTCCTCAGCTCCACAGCACCGGCCTCCACCTGTTCATGCTGCCTGCTGATGTCGCCGTCGTCGTCTTTTTTACGAGAGAAAAACCACCACCAGCCGAGGAGTGCAAGCATTCCAGGCAATGCCAAGGGGAAGAGTGAACGGAATTGGAGCACCATCCTGGAGGCTTGACGTAACGATACCTGGGGAGAAAAGGGGAAGCGGGGAGAGGACTGTCATAAGCTCCAGGGAAGAGGGTATGCATGTGCAAGAGGGCCACGTGGAGAGGCCGGAACTGCTACTTCCCTCCCCTCCCCTGGCGCCCCCACCCTTGGTAAGAAACAAGCCTCTCTGACCTGCACCCACTCATCCTCTGGATGACCCCTCCCCAGGTGAACAGCCAGGAAAAGGCCCCTCCCACTCCATACTGCTGATTCACACACACCCCTGAAATACACTGAGCCTTCTATTCTTAAACCTAACCCCCCACCCCTTCGTCGCTTTGCAATACCAAATTCTCCCTATGTGCCCCCAAGGGCCTAGTTATGTTCTGTGTGGTTTTGTTCTCTAAACTCCTAGAACATGTTACTCATTCAAGTGGTGCTGCAGCTTTTTAATCACCCGTGCAATCCATATGTACACGTCCCTCCCATGTTCCCACAAATCCACAAGTTAAGGAAACAGTAGTGTGGTACTCAGCAACAGATGGTGAGAATAAAGGATGGATAAAAATGCAAACAGATGGGGAGATGCTCCGGGGGGAGGGGCCCACGAAACACACAGCAGCCTAAAGACCCAGGTCAGACGTGGAACTGGATACAGATAGTCCCTAACTGACGACGACAGCTCAACTTATGTGGACTGGATACAGATAGTCCCTAACTGACGACGACGGCTCAACTTACGATCTTTTAACTTCACAATGGGGCAAAAGCGATACACATTCAGTAGAAACTATACTTTGGATTTTGATCTTTCCAGGGCTAGCGACATGCAATAGGACATTGTTGCAATGCTGGGCAGAGCAGTGAGCTGCAGCTTCCCTTCCCAGTGAGCGCTGCGGTGCCCTGTGCTGTCAGATGATTCTACTCGGCTGCAGGTTAATCTGAGCACATTTAAGGTAGGCTAGGTTAAGCTACGATGCCCGGTAGGTTAGGTCTACAGTCTCCAACCCAGTGCCCACAGGCCACTCTGTGGCCTGCTCACATCTTTCCCCATATACACACCAATCTGTGGAAAATTTGTCTTTGATGAAACCAGTCCCTGGTGCCAAAAAGATTGGGGACCGCTGGTTAGGTGTATTAGACACATTTTCAACGTATAATGGGCCCATCAGCACACAACTCCACCGTGAGTTGAGGAGCACCCCTACTTTGTAGAGTTGATGAGGGTCCTGGGGCCCTACTGTGTAGTCTGGACTTTATTCTGCAGATAGAACCAGCCCAGGTCTGCAAGGCACACGCACCAATCTGTGTTTCCAGAACGCAATTCTGGGAATAGGCTAAGCAGTACATCAGGCAAAGGGAGCCTAGAAACCTACGTCAAGTCCCAAAAAGGAGGAATGATAAGGATCTAGAAGGCCACAGACATGTAAAAGGAGATAGGAACTCAGTTTTCTTCACCTGTAAGATGGGAACACCTCTCTTATGGGACTGCTAGTACAAGGATTAGCTAAGATAAATATTGAGTATTTTGCAAAGAAGAGCTAGCTCTCTTTAGAGGATAGGATGGACTTATTCTAGAATTCTTGTATTCAGCACTTCCCATGCCAGCAAAATTTTGAATCTATCTTGAAAAAT